CTGCTCTCCATCACCAGCTCTGCAAGCTGCACACACCAAACCCCACACACAGACACTGCTGCTCCCAGAGCCACCAGCCACCGACTCCACACCGTGAGTTACTAAAGAATACTGGGRAAATTCGGGGAAAAAGGGAGCTGGCAAAACATTGCTTCTAAAACTGACYTCACTGGCTGTTTGTTTGCCTGCTCCAAGCCACCAGCACTGCTATCCTGGGGCAGAGGAGATCAGAAACACAAACCYCACACCTCCCAGCAAGGAGCTGCAGTGACGAGTGTGGAACCAGAGGCAAAATCCTGAGGATTTCCAGGAACTCGTGYCTCGAGCTGGACAGCAATGAAATGGCATCTGCTGCTCCATGAGCACAACTGTGCACTGTCACTGTGCTCACTGTAATTTCGGGCACTGTGACAYTCCCAGAGGACGAAAGCTGAGACAGAACCAGGGCTGGTTCCAGCAGGGCATGTTTTGAATCACAAACTGGGGAAACAGTTATACAATACTGCAGAATCACAGGTTTAAAGCCTTTCCAAGTACTAAATAATGGMCTAAAGCCTAAGATTTATCCAGCTGCCAAACTTTTCAACAGYTTGAATCAAGTTTCATGTGTGTGTATATAAAAACACATATAATATATATAAAATTGCCAGCCAGCATAGACATATCTCCATAATAAATAAATGAATTATAGGAGTACAGACATAAAAGTGGAATATTCAATAAATATTCAATTTTTAGGAGAAGACTGAGCAAATGACTTATCTGCCAGTCTAAAACTTAAGAACAGAATTCAATCCCCTTTCCCACCACAGACTGTGAGTTAGTGGATGTTGCAGTGACTCCACAGGAACTCACTGGACAGGGCTGGCACAAAGATAACTGCATGAAGAACTGATGTTGCTCAGATGCTTGAGCAGAAGGCAAAGAAAGTCTAATTATCCCCATAAAGAAATCAATCAGTAATTGCAGTCATGTCCAGCTGAACCACCAAGGCTTGGAGACCCCTCAAAGGTGGAGTTTCCCTYCTTGAAGACACTGAACTGTACCAARTWTGAGGGTTASTCTTGAAAGCTCAGAAACAGAATAAAAGGTTTTTAAAACCCACTCAAAACGCAAAGAGAATTTAACCAGGATTACGTGCCCTCCTCTGTACCCAGGGCAGTGGCTCTGTGTGCTCAGATCTGTGCTTTGCCCCTGAGGTGGCTCTGTTTTACTGATGGATGGGACGTAAAAAGTTACGACCTGGGAGTTTTATGGASAACCTGCAGCCCATGGAGAAGGAACTGCAGCTCTCTCAGTCAGCTCRGTGTTTTATTGGAAACAAATGTCACTCTGATCTACGATTTATGTACCAAACTGAAGCTGGAAACAATTTGGAAATTACTGTAACAGCGTCACCCTTGCATTTCTGGGGGTTTTTAAGAGTACCAACACCTAGCACTGAGGCTCTGTGGCTTTGACCCACTGATGAAACAGCAGCAGACCTCTGACTTACAGCAAATTAGGGGTTATTGCACTTAGTGACAACATCAATTATTCCAGTTCCACCACACACAGACTATTCTGCTCCAGGGACATAATTTAAGCACTTTAATAAACACAAGCACACAGATGGGCCCTCACCTGCCATCTCCTCCTCGGCCTTTTAAAAAATAATTATTATTATAAGGCAATGATTACAGTTTATAAAAGCCTGGACAAATATTTACACTGAAAAAAAAGCATAAGGGAATAAATAAATAAATAAATTATGAAATATAAATGATTGCTCCCACAGAGAATGTAATAATTATTATATTTTTTTRAAACACAGAAAATATTTGGGAGATCAGATTTAGAAGTGCAAYAGGATGAAAAATATTAAGACTGTGCCATATCAAAACCAGAAAACAGAGACATGACTAAGATACAAACACCTCAACAATCCCAAATTCCCTCTTTCCCTCCTCTACAGCACAGAACTACTGCACAACACCAATCTGAAAAAATACAAGGAAAACGATGAGCAAGAAAAAAAAAAACCTGCTCAAATCCAATTTTGCTTGAAAGCTGACAAAAAGTTCAACAAGAAAATATAAATCAGGCAGACTCTTCCATCTTTAACCTTGTTTTTTCAGYCCTAATTTCATCAGATCAGACAGAAATGTTTCACTTTGGGAAACTGCTAGGGCCATATTGCCACTTTGATACACTAAACAGACAGAACATTATGCAATTTGCCAAACTTTTCTCTCCATCCCAGGCATATTTTTAGCTCTGACTGTGTTGGCTCTGATAAAATGAATGATTCTAGTGAATGGTGCGGGAACAGTCACAATATGGAATGTTAAAGCACAAACACCTCCCACAAAAACTTCTGGATATAAATACACTTAATATCTCAATTACCTTCCGYTTGACTTAGTTAAAAAAGCTAAGCAAGCTGCTGAAAAAAAAAAACAAAACCAAAATACAGGTGGGGAAGGAGAAGCTGGTGTGGGATCTCTGGGCGATTCAGCACCAAGGCAAAGCCCAGCTCTGATTGAGCCCCGAGGTAAAGCCCAGCTCTGGCAAACCCTACTCACTCATTAATGATCAGGTCTGGAGCAAAGCACAGCAGRTTGCCGTTGGACTGCTTGTAGGATCTCCAGCCTAAAGCAAAAGCCATCAGGAACATCCAGGAGTACTGCAGAAGGGTCATTTGGTCATCCAGGTGCAAATTTCGGAAACCTGGAGAAGCAAGAATTGAGAGGGGTTGGTGGCAGTCGCAAAAAAAAAAGCAACAAAGGACAAAAAACTCGCATGACTTGGAAAAGGAGCAGGGCTATGAGCACCACAACTGCTGTGTTATCAGTGCATAGCTACTACAGGGAGTAAAAGGAATGTAATACCACAAACCCATAGCATATATGTGTGGGGTTATCTGGCACTGATGGTCAGCCAGATACATCACAAAAGGCAACAATTATATTTCACATACACTGTAATTCACTGGGCTGACTTCCAAAAATAACAGGGTTTGCTGCTTTTCACAAGAGCGCTCTGCTAGACAATAAAAGGTTTAATGTCAAAGTTTGCTCTTATTCAACAACAATTGCACACTGAACCTACAAAGTTCTGCATTAGTTACCAACATTAACTGCTTCTAATGGGACAGAGCCAACTGAACGAGGAGGAAATGAGTAAAACCTGACAACTGGGCCCTCMAAGAGCCTGAAAATGCCATCAGCTTTCGATCTGCAGCACCAGCTCCTACCAGAGGCAGCCCACACTTACCAAGAAACCATCGTGCCATACGGAGCCATTATTAGAGCCTGAATACGAGTTGATTTTATCTATTTTTACTGAGCATCTGACATCTAAAGAGCTCATAATATCTAAAGAGCTGCTTCCTGAAGCTGTGCCAGCAGACAGAGGCAGTGGATGAACGTTAACACTGAGCACAGCCCTGGCTTTGGGGACAGCAGGAATGACCAGGTACTGCCTCTAAAACACCAACACAAAGGGTTTCAAAGTGATTCCAGTTTTTCTGGGTCAAACCTTGAAATCTGTGCTCAAAGCCTCCCCAGGAAAAGGTTATTTTGAATTCCCAACTAAAGGGTTTGGCAAGGAATGCTGGCGTGCTGTCAGCATGGCTGATGGGCTACAACCAGGAGCAGGATATACAAATTAAACACTCATGAGGAACCACCTCGGCAAACAAAAGAAAAGAGATAAAAATGATAAGAATAGTTGCTATTAATGTAGTTATTAAAGAGAAGATTGGCATTTTCATTGAGAGCRTAAGCTCTAACCTGAAGGGTTTGGCTAATTATGAACTGCTCAGCASAGATGATGAACACAGAAGTGTTTTATAAAATGGAATCTAAATCTGGATCTGGGAACACCAGATGGTCTCCCAAAAACCTGCCCCAGAAGGAAGTGAGTGCATGTGAASCTCTCCTAGAGCAGGCTGAGCTGATTCAGCACAACTGCCCAGTGCAAACAGCCCTGACACAGAATCCCAAAATCACC